TGCTTGTAATATTTCTAATGTGGAAACTAGTCAATGTTCTTTATATTATTTAAATATTTTTTTTTTCTTCTCTATAATTTCTGCATGCGAATCTAATTTCTGTTAGGTAGTCAGCACCTGTTAGGTGATACTACCAACCCCACTATTTGAGGTATTTAAATAAAGCTCTATAGAAACAAACAAAGTTAACGTTTTAAGTAAAAATTATATTAAGCAAACTTGAAAGTTATTCATTTAATTTAAACGTTACTCGTTACAACGCAAAATCGTTACCGTTATCGGAGTAACAGAGGTAACGGTAACGAGTAACGGTCAACCCATACTCAAGACACTATTGCAAAGCTATTTTTTGGAATTTTATTTTAGACTTTACTTTACCGAGTTATATGGTTTCCAAAATTGAAAAACTTGGTTTTTGAGACGTTTTTCAGTATTTTTTTCCTATGACTCGACCAGGAAAGGCCTGAAAAAAATTTTCGAAAAATTAGCTCTGCGGAATGACCTTGAGTATCTCTAGTAAAATTTTGAACGCGATCGGATGAAGGGGGGTCGTAATGTAGCACAATGGAAAACCGAGTTTTCTGAAAAACTGGTGAACGGCAATACTTGAAAACTTGAAACAAGAACGAAAAAGTGCTCCATTGAGTTTCCGATCAGTTCTGAAAATGCGAAGCCCTAGCGACCTTTAGTTTTTATTTCACAGCATTTCCCAAAAAGAGGGAGGGCTACCCTTAATAATACTCTGATTTTCAACCTGCAATCACGGTAAATCCTATTTATTGATGGTATCAGAACATCGATATAACGGAGAAACATAGCTGGAAAACATTCTTGAATTAAATGAACACTCGCTGCATGAGTAAAACTTTTGAATTATGTAATTCGATATTGAAACGTTTCTACGGTATAATAGATGAAGTTATGAGTAACTTTGAAGCTGGAATCGGATGGGCACAACCTATTTTTTCCGCATGTTATAGGCTTTCTTGATAACTTTGTGGGTCCTCTCTTTGGACTTCCAGCCAATAGATCGCCAGAAGCAGGAAGCGACTGAGACTAAATTGTATTATTAGAGAGTAGTGTAGCAAATTAAATGGTGGTTCAAAGTTAGTTCAAAAACTGGAAAAAATTCATATGTTAGTTCCAGAGTTGCTTTTAGCATCTGATTCAGCTGTTATCCATCATCCAGGCAGCGACACTAGAACTATTACCTGTAGCGGGTAAAGTTAAATCCCTCATCACTGCTAGGTACGGTCTCGTTGATACGACGAAGACCGTTTTGCGGTTCAACAGCATGTGTAACCAAAAACCGACTTAGATATTCGAGCTTCGCGTAAAATTCATGGGAAAACAAATCTCATTGATAAACTCGGCTGTTATCTCGTCAAGTGAGGATGAATTTTCAATTTTTCATCGAAATAATGTGGAGATTTATGAGGTTTTACTCGATGAATATTGATCAGAAAAAAGATTTATTAAGAAACACTTTTGATATATGAGCCTGCTAAGGAACTGCCCCCGTTGACATCTACTATACCCTATATACGCGTCAAACCCATTATACTCTGTATACCTAAAGCTATTATTTATATATATGGTATTTAGGAGATATTAGTACATCTAGAGATACTTGGGTTACTATCGGATTGCGGGTGAGTTGTATGTTCTTTCTCTCCTTAAAATCCCAACATATTATAGTATACAATGGATTTAGTAGTCTGATTGATCCGTTAAATTACTTACTTGCATTGCCACATCTCTGTGTTTATCTAGACTCATCTTCCACGTCAACAACCATTACAACGTCGACAACGGTCAGCTCCATAAATACAGGCGGTTCAGGAGGTACTTCCGTTTCTTCAACCACAATCTTTTGGTCATTTGATAACAACACAAATGATATGTACGATGCTTACAATGGTATACCTATAAATGATACCATGTACTTGTCGCCTGGTTCGACGGGTTATGGCTCCTCTCTTGCCCTGAACGGGACATTGAACCAATCAGTTACCGTTACCAACTATGTCAGTTTAACCAATGTCAGCTTTACATTTGAAGCGTGGATCTACATCACTGCGGTTAGCAGTGCTGATTATAGTATATTTGGTCAATGTGAGTTAAGAGTCCTCAACAAATGTTTACATTCAAAAATCAGCAATTACAAACTCTATTTCGGATTGATTTGCAAGGTTCAGGAAATCTATCAATTGATACCTGGTATCATGTCGGCTTCGTTTATGAATATTCTGCGATGACCCAATCCATCTGTCTGAACGGTGTTTTAGATGGGAGTCGGTCATGCGGAACGTACTACAAAGGTACAAGTGGAGATTTGACAATTGGTACAACGAACGATAGTATAACCACACAATATTTTTCCGGACGTATTGATCAAGTGTTGCTCACAATACGAGCGAAAACTGCCACTGAGATTCTAGATGACGCAACACTTACTGCCTTTTATTCGTTCGATTCTGGTTCATTTTATGATTCAGGACCTAATAAGATCAACGGTTTTGGCTTCAATACTAGTGTTGTGTCAGGAAAAGTAGGACAAGCTATTCAATTTGCTCAGAACTATTCATATTTTCAAATTACAGGACTTCAACTGTTAGGTATTCCAAATCAACCATATTCAATTGCTTTATGGATTAAGCCGACTGTGTCTGTAAACGGTACCCTCATTCATACATCAAACACGACAACTGGCACAGACTGGTGCATAGCGATGTTGAGATTGGATGAAGGAGGTCAGATAATTGTCTCTAGTTTGAACGGAACCGTGCGGCCTAGTATTAATGGGACGGTGATAAAACCAAATGTTTGGACACATATTGCGCAAACCTATAGTCCAGACAATGGACTAACAATGTATGTGAATGGCTCATGGTACGAATCCACTGGAAGTTTTGCGTACACCGCGAGTGCTTCGTTTGATACAATAACAATTGGGAATCCGCTTCTTGACAATTTGTGCGAAAAGGATTCCAGTCCAGGACAGTTCTACGGCGCAGTAGACGATTTTCGCCTGTACTCTAGAGAATTGTCAGCAGCAGACGTTACCGTACTGGCAAATCCGTAGATGATTGAACAATTTATGTGATCAAACATAAGTCTGAGTACTCTTAAGTTTACTTTAATTCCATTTGAATTATTCTTTATTTAGAAATTTGAAGACTCCTTTTTCTTGTCGGACAGTACCTTGAATTCGAAATAAATCTTGTTGAGCAGTTTGTAGCTGATATTTGTAGCATTAGACTATATGACAGAAACATCCACTAATGTGTTACACTTTTTCAGTTAGATTGTTATAAAAACTGCACTGAAAAACACTTTTGAACTTTTGTAGTGTAAGATTAAATCCTATTTCGCCCATCTAAATTGTACGGAAGTAAATATTTTAATCAGAGTCGCCGACTATTTCATGAATGACTTTCCCGCCAACTGAGCACTATCTCCTTTATCAACCTTTTACCACAGACAAACATCCTTCTCGTAAAGAGATATTATTTAACCGCTCACTCTCATGTGGTCTACTCCTCTCACTCGTTAGCAGTGACAGAAGTTATGGAGGCTTTCAGCCTTTACATAATTAGGAGTATTAAAAATGTGATTTCAGCTCGAGAAAAAGTCATGTCCCATGGAGGTTCAAATAAATTATTCACTTCGGTGTTCTTGAAAAACTGCTAATTGTGTATTTTTCAAAAAGCAGCTACCAGATCCTTAGTTAGCTTTTTTTAGTAAAAGGACTAATTCACTTGATTAATCAATAAATTAATTATTTTTGCAACTGAATTACACTTTATTAAGAAAAAATAGACTATTTGATATGTTTAGTCGATAATTTATCAGTTTTCTTCTCTTTCCCTAAAATTTTTTGTACTTGAATACCCTCCTGGAAAAATGTGCAACGATACAGAACGATCGGTACCGTTAAAGATCGATGTTTTAGGTCGGATCGCCACATTTTCTTTTACTAACAAACGGTAGCGTCTGTTAAAGGGTAGGCACTAAGTTTCTACTCTCTCTGTAATTGTCCTTAAGTAAATGAAATACATAGAATAAAATTCAGCTGTTTTTTGCAAAAGATTCGCCTTTTAATTCTCTACGAAATGGTATATAGGAGATGAATCTGAGACTTGAGACTCCGTTTGATTGAAATACCCCAAAACTATCAAAAAAAATAAAAAAAATTTCTGACGACGATTTAACAGAAAAATTCCAAAATTAAACCTCTGCGCTATGACCTTGGGTACCTCTGATAAAATTTTTAACTCGATCAGATAAAATTTGAGGCGGGTCGTAATGTGGTCCAATGAAAACCGAGTTTTCTGAAAAATGCGTAAACGGCAATAGTTAAAAACTTGAAACAGAAACGAAAAAGTGTTCCATTGAGTTTCAAATCACTTCTGAAAATATGAAACCTTAGTGAGTTTTAGTTTTTATTTCACAGCATTTCACGCATATATATATATCAGGTGGCCCAGATAAAACCGGCCACTTTTGTTCCTTGTTTTTGGAATACTGTTCAGTAGTTCCAAGAGCTTTTTCCTAATGTCAATCGACAGAGAATTGAATTCTCTACAAAATCTGTAGTTGTAATCCCTGACAGCATTTTTCCCGTTTGAGTGCCACTCAAAATATTGAAGGGTGCTGAGTTGTCGAACTGCGATGTGCTTTTGATGTCTCCTTCTTTGACATTTCTATTCTATTGTCTGATGTTCAATAGCTAATTTTTCTAGGTAGAAAGATAGAGAATTTTGTGTTCTATTGATCTCACTAATCTAAAACTTCATACAATGTTTTCGCTCCGTCAGCTGGACTCATAATTACTTCTCAACCGGCGTTTCAATTGTTTCAAATTAAATAAATTGTTTTAATTAATGATTTCAATTCAGAAACTTTCTTTATATATCAAAGACGCAGAATTTAATTCTTTGTAAGATGGTAAGACTAGAACTCTGGATTCAGAACGTTGTACCGCTTTTATAGCCAAAAAACTAAAGTCTATGAGAAATAGGTTCAGAAGTTAGGTTTTTTTAACTTTACTAGTTTTTTGCACAGAAATTTTTCTAGAAAAGTGAGCTGCAAAAATTTCAAAAAATACGTGAGAAGATACAGAATTTTCTGGTGAATCTTCTGATGTTTTCAAAATTCTTATGGAATCTGTTTTTGGATCAAGCCAAATATTTTTCTATTTTCAGTGTGTCGCAGTTCGACAACTCAGCACCCTTCAATATTTTGAATGGTACTCAAACGGGAAAAATGCTGTCAGGGATTAAAACTACAGATTTTGTAGAGAATTCAACTCTCTGTCGATTGACATTAGAAAAAGCTCTTGGAACTACTGAACAGTATTCCAAAAACAAGGAACAAAAGTGGCCGGTTTTATCTGGGCCACCCGTTACATATATGTCAAACAAAAAATGGAATGACCATCGCCTGATCCTATCAGCGAATCACTGAACGTGCTTTTTTAGTGTACCTGCCTAGTCAGCAGATATTTTAACCCTTCTTTCTTACTATTTAATAATAAAAAAGAAACTACAATTATTGACAGAGTTTAATATGCTCGGCACATTGCCTACAAAGGAGAATATAACATGAATGATCTACCAGCGTGTCGGAGTCCGAAACGAAATACTCAGCCAAGAGACTTTTCGCTGAATTATTGTTTTTTTTATAGGTTCGTACGATTTCAGCGATGAAGAAAATTATATTTATTCTAAACTAAAACTATTGAAAAATATAAAATTAATGTTGTACTATAATGCAATACTTTTTTGTATATCAATTATTTTTATATTTTAATTAATACTTGAATATTTTTAATAAAAATTAATATTAGTAAAAGCATTTTATAGACGTAATAAATTTCGAGGACGTTTTATATGACCTCGAGAATGAGCAGATTGTGCAAGAAGAAAAGTCATTCATTTTCTCTGTATGTAGAGGAAAGAAACGGTATTGCTATTCAACATCCATCAAGGTATAATTGATATTCACCTGAGTGAATTGATCTTAAATGGAGATCCGAAAAGAGCTTCAGATGCAAATTATAACGCCGTCGCCGTGTATTAACTTACATACCTTGTGGACTTAATTTTCTACAGTTGTCCGCTCATGCCATACATTGATCTTCTTTTTGAATCTTTTAATAGCAGCAGTAAACCTTTCAATCGGTGTCTTTATCACATCTAGTTTTGATTTTGATTCATATATTCGACAAATCTCCAACTAAAATATTTCAATATATTTTTAAAGCTTTTAAAAAAATGATTAAATATTTGTTTAGCATCAAAAAATTATCGATTAATATTTGAAATGCAATTGATAATTCATCTAAAATTATTAAACTATGTCCATTGTCATAATTATTCTTTAATATATTTTTGATTGAAGTTGTGACTTTATCATTACTAAGTTCAATTGGTAGAATAATATAGGGTGTCCAGAAAGTCACTAGAGTTGCAGAAAATTTCCAAATCTTCATGACTCTTCAACCAAATGAGTTGAATTTTTTTCTGAAGGTAGAAAACAAATAGTACTTTTTATTTATAAAGGAACGGTCCGTTTATAGGCATCAACTCGACAATTTTTTCTTCAATGCACGACCAGTTAGCTACGCACAAACATTTGTTGTTCATAGCTATCATGGAATACTGTTGAATATTCTTTTATTTTTTTATCAAGTAATGTAGTTGATATGTAATGCGATATCATTAGTATGAAAGAAATTGTCCTTCGTTGTTCAAGCAATCACGAAAACGTCCCAAAACAGAGCGACATGCTTTGCGGCACACGTCTTCTGGTATTTCTTCGCAGGCTGTCTAAATTCTGTCTTGAAGTTCTGTAATGGTAGCGGGCGGCGTTTTAAACACGATGTCCTTTAAATAACCCCAAAGAAAGAGGTCACATGGGCTCAAATGGTTTTTAGCGCAAAACCATTGGTTGAAGAGTCGTGAAGATTTTGAAATATTCTGCAACTCTAGTGACTTTCTGGACACCCTATATAATGAAGTTCGTTTTTATATCAGCATACAGGATCTAGAGTCAATTTTCTGGTCGGCGGTCACAATAGCCATCTGAACCTATATCGATTTTAGTGTGAGTCACAAGAAGCGAAAAACCTATTATCAATCTATACTTTAGTAGATGCGGTCTTGGGCTACACGCTGATATATTCGATGTTTCTTCACGCCTCATATTGATGGAGAAAAATGAGACTTTTCATCGATTTGTATGGTTTATCGATTATAATGTTTCTCACTATTTTGAGTCGTGTACGTCCCAAGAGAAGTGAACAGAACTCAAACTTTGCCAGAAACTGTGTGCAAGTCCGCTCTATGAAATGCACTATTTCAGAATTCATCTAAGGGGGCGCTTCATACCCAAAAGTGCTTCGCATTGAAAAGACTCTTCTCGTGTTAAGCGACCTTTACTCAAAGTATTTACACTATTCCACCTCTTTCACCTAGGCAAAATATCAACAATTATACACCGTTCGATAGAAAATTTGACGAGCTTTCGAATCATATATAAGATAGTCTTAAGAAAATATGACTGGGTAGTCTAAGATCCGAACTACTCGATAGCATCCCAGCAAACCAGTTGATCAGCGTCGTTCATGATTATAATATCCATTAATATTCTGGTTAACCACTCTACTCGATATGTTCGATAGAGAATTTCACGGGCTTCAAAATGGGCTATTAATAGGTCTTCCAATAATATGCTCACATGGGTCAACAGTCGAAATACTTGGCCGATATTATGATTTTCACCTGTCTGAGTGCTTTAAACACTCTTTTACTTATTTTTCTGCCATAATCAAAAATTATGTATAGTTCGGAAACATACCATTGGATAGCCCTTAACATTCTCTAGCTTCAATCAGTTCTGGCTACATTTTTCTTTGGAAGATAAAAACTATAAATTATATGATTCATAGATTCTCTAGTTACATCCGCGCTTTATTCTTGCCGCGATTATGTCGCGGCCGCGAATTTTGCGCGTTCCGCGAAAAACTGGCGATCGCGCCGCGAAAATTTTTGCGCGCCGCGTTCGCGGTTAAGATCACAT